GAGGAGGAAGAGTCTCAAGGACTTTGCTGCCTGGCCTGGCTTTGAACCAAGATCCTCAGATCTTAGCTTCCTGAGTTGCCAGGATTATAGGTGTGAGCCACCAGTGCCCGGTTCTACTAGATTTATTTGTAGCTCCCTCCTATTTTTGGGGGGGGTCCAGTCGTGGGACACTGTTCCTCAGCTCTTCAGCTCAAGGCTAGCGCTCTACCACTTGAGCCACAGCACTACTTCCGGCTTTTTTCTTTTCGCTTATGTGGTGCTGAGGAATCAACCCCAGGGCCTCATGCATGCAAGGCAAGCGCTCTACCACTGAGCCACCTTCCCAGCCCCCCTCCTATTAATTTGTAAGAGCTCTTTCCTCAGGACAAAAATAGCTCATGCAGGTGGTTATTTAATGAACTTTCAAACAAGGAGCATTGTCAGATATTCAAGAAGAGACCTTGACTTGAACCTAGAAAGGTAATATTCAGCTCAGTACTTGCAATGATGAACCATCTAAAACAAGTGACTCTAAGTCCACGCATGGTAAACAAGGCTATTTGTGATGCATAAAATTCTAGCTCAATTCTATCAAGGATATAAAATGTAGTACGGAGTTCTGAAAGATCTTCTAGGCAAAACTGATCACAGAAGTAGTACATTACTTTCATACTTGGTTCTGAATGGGGTGCTGTCATATGTATTACAAGAATTTCTGAGCTCTCCATCATTTTTACCCAGACCTCTACCCATCTAGCTAGACTAAAATTTTCTTTAGACAGTATCTTGTTTATCCTAAGTTGACTCTTTTCAGTACTGTTTCCTGTCCTTGCGAGACTTGGTCCTACATTAAGAGGTCTTTTCTATCACCCTACCTTTTCTCTTCATCAACTTTCTGTCCTGAGTATATTGAAGCATTTTCTTGCAAATCTACCACTTTCAAGTTACATTCCAATTTGCCAGAGAGAAAATTCTATGATGAAAAAAAGACAAATTTCTAAGTGTTGCAAGCAACTAATTTTCTAGTGTCTGGACAAGTCCTGACTCTTAGTTAATGCCCAGTGAAATGTACTCACGAAGAGCTACTATTCTATCAGGAATGTGAACTGTAAGACACATATTTTGCTTCCTAATTTTGTAAATACTAATACACATTCCTATAAGGAAAGAGTATGTTTTCAATCCATCATCTTAACTTAGAGTCAAATAATATATAAATAATCACATCAGGCCTTTGTTGAATTAATGTCTAAAGACTTACATCATCTCTGTCTTTTGGCTTGAGGCAACTTACCTGTAAATACTCAATTTTGTTTTTTAAATAGAAAAAAAACTAAAATTCATAAATAATTCTTTTGATGCTTATGTAACAGAATAGCTATTTTAAAAGAGTCCAATCAAAAGGGTTTTTAATTGACTTGTGTAGTAGATTATAGCCTCAAATTTCCTATGACAGGAAAAAGACATCTAGATAATCTTCTACTTCAGAATTATAAGAATGTGGTAGAATGAGAGAGGTTCACTTTCCAATCCTGTTTTCAAAGTGTGCCTGTATCTCTTCTAGAACAGATAGATCCTGAACAAGTAATAATTGCCCATGAAATATGAAGGGCCTCACCCTTCTTTTAAATTCTGATTTTGTTTATAGGTGTCAAATTACATAGACAAGATTAATTTCAATATATACTCTATATTTATAGATATCTTTCTTTCTTTTTTCTTTCTTTTTCTCCTTCCTTCCTTCTTTCTTTTCTTTCCTTCCTGCCTTCCTGCCTTCCTTCCTGCCTTCCTTCCTGCCTTCCCTCCTCTCTCTCTCTCTCTCTCTCTCTCTCTCTCCTTTTGTTCTAGTACTAAGTTTTGAGTTCAGAGCCTCAAAAGCTTGCTTGGTTTTCTTGCTCAAGGCTGAATTGTTGCCATTGGGCCATATCTCCAGGTTTTGTTAGTTGATTGGAGAAAAGAGTCTCCTGGATATGTCTCCCCAGGCTAAGTTCAAACCAAGATTCTCAGATTTTAGCTTCCTGAGTAGCTAAAATTATAGTCATGAACCACCAACACCTGGCAATGACATTGTTTCTCATCCTATAAGATGTTTTAAACACCTCTTTACCTAGGCCCTCACAATTCAAGCAGTTTATATTGACAAGGTGTGTTAATGGCTTGCTCTTGATTATTACTAAAGGACTCCAGCAACAGCATCTCCCAGGGAACTCCATCTGAGTTAGCCTGAAATCCATACCTTCTGCGTCAAACACATACTCCAATGCATCTGTCCTTCTCTGAAACTATTACAAAGCAGACACTCATTGTGGAAAATATTGAGATGAGTATCAATTTAGACCTAAGGCAGTTGTTGATCTTGAGTGTTCATGACAGTGTGATAATCTGAGAATGGATAGTCTACTTGTGCAGTGAGTCAGTCATTGGTGCAGATTACAAGAGACGATGACAGGTGTATATATGTCAAACCTTTGTAAATGAGTACCAAAGTTGTGGATGGAATACATGAATTTGGTAAAAAAAAAAAAATTCAGTATAAATATTAGGTGTTGAGTATTAAGGCTGGCCTAGGAATGACATAAGGAATAAACATGAATTCTGGCTGACACAATAGTTCAAATAATTCAGAAAAGAATGAGCAGTGGCATAGGTATGCCTCAAGCAGTTAGCTGTATGTCCAAAAGCCATGTTAAATAGTCAAAAATTGACCATGTAACCAAATAAACTCTACCTGACCACGCCCAAACACATCCACATCCATTAGAGATGTGTGGACACACACACACACACACACACACACACACACACTCATTTCTTTACAAAACAAGTCAATTTTTGTGATTTGTAAAAAAGTCATAAGTCAACTTCTTTATTTTGATATTAGATAGGAAAGATAAAGAAACAATGCATTTTTTTGAAGAATGGCTGAAAAAAAAATCATTCAAACCTTGGAAAGAGTCAAAATTCTGAGATTAAGCCTCCAGACTTGCACAGACCCCGAAAACATTCCTGTCAATATCTCCTGGGAAGCCAAAATGTCAAGTGTTTGAAACATCAGTGCCATCAACCTCATAACTTGCGTGATGATTTCTGCACTAGCAATGAGATTTTGTTTAAATCCTTAAAGATTGTTTTTATTTTTTTTCAGATACTGTGATAGGAAAATGTCTAGCATATAACTCTGTCTGACTACATTATCTCGGCAATTTTCCAGTCCACACAACAGCATATTCTTGAACCTGACCTATCATATTTTGATCAAATTCCCTGCCAAATCAATCCACAACTTAGGTAAAAGATATTTACTGGGATATGTGTTCACACACACACACACACACACATACACACACACTCACACAGTCATTGTCGTTGTCAACATCATCATCCCCAAAGGACCACACATATTCTCAAAATATATAAACCATAGGGGGAAATTTCACATGATAAAATTAAGAAACATCTAATGCTAATGTGGGGAATATTATAAAAACAAAAGTGTACCACTGCTAAAGCTGGATATTTTGATGAGTAAACAATGTCTAGGTTCTTAAAAATAATTGGTTTTATTATTAGAATTGTAGCTTTCTTGTGTGCAGAGAGGTCAGATTTTGGTAGATAGAAACAATACTAATCCTTCAGATATGTGTGAATAGTATAGGAGAAATTGCCCACTGTTTTATGGGCAGGTAACACATTCACCTTTTGTAATAATTAAATAAAAGCTACAGTGCTATTCTTTTCATTAGGGGTAAAAAAAAAAGTCTGACTCTTGTCAGGTAAGCTGCTTGGCAAATAGTAAGTTTAATTCCTAACACCCACATGAGGCACAAGAATAGTTGGATTAACAACTCCAGTGTCATGCTGTCAGCTGCTGTTTATTTAAATTAAAATGTCACCATCCAGAAATAAATTAGGAAGTTGAAAAATGATAAATTTCTTAAACATACAGTACTTTGGCACCTTGTTAAAATAAATCTATTACATTTGTGGTTTGTAGAATTTTACATAGGCTATTTCCATTTTGACATTCAGAGGATAGCAGGTTCTTATTTTTTATTCTTCTTCTTACTTGTTTAACCCTCATTCCCTTCTTCTTTACCTCCCTCCCTTTCTCCCTATTCTTTATTTCCCTCCCTTCCTAACTTCCTCTCTCTCCTTCCATCCTTTCTCCATCCTTATTTCCCTTTTCTCTCATTTTCCCCTTTCATCCGTCCCCCTTTTTTCTTCCCTCTAATCCTTCCCTCTCTCCCTTCTTTCCTCCCTTCCTTTCTCTCTCCAGCCCTGCCTACTTATTTTCCCCTCCCTTTTCTTCTCTTCTTCCTTCTCTTGCTTCTTCCCTTTCTTCTCTTCTTTCCTTTTACCTTTCCTATTTTTCTCCTTATTTTTGTCTTCCATCTGTTTTGCCTTCTGCCTTTCTTTTTGCTCTCTTCACTATTCCTATCTATACCATATGTTGCAGAATGGGAAAAAAAGACACACCACTGCACAATCTTAGGTACTTTACATGCATATCTAAACTAGCTGTCCATCTCATGTTTATCTAAACATATAAATACATCTACATTTGTCCAGATCCCATCACCCACTTCCTACAATTGCCTATAGCCTACTAGTCTTCTTAGAATACACTATTGTATGTTATTTGTATGCTTATAATGTAAAAGGAAAATCAATTCCCTTTGAGCTTACTTACTGTCTGTTACCAGGAAGTTACAGTTAATGGCCCAGCACTCTAAGAAAATCCCAGTTATTGTCTAAAACCTTTTATACTTTAAGACAGTGTTTTTGGCTCTGAGTTCATGGTAGAGCAGGTTGTTCTGGTTTTAGGAGCCAATTCAGTCATAAGTAGGAAGAGAATTAACATCTGCAGAAAAGTAGTCCCTTTCTGCTCCCATTTGGGTGTGTTTCTCTCCTGGATTACCGCAGATCACAAACGATGCAAATGCACGGGATAAGGCAGGTTAAAGAAATATGAGACAGTTGTATACAAACATATTCAGCATTAACAACATGGAGATATTTACTTGGCCGGGTTTTCCATTTTCACATAAAAATGCCTCATATTCGGATGCGAATTCAGGGGCGTTGTCATTGACATCCAGCACTTTAATAGCAACAGGCACACGTGATATCTGACTGTGGTTCCCTATGGGAAGGAAAAAATAACATCAGCATTGAGGGCATTCCATTGTAAACATGCAACTCAACTTTCCCCTAACTGGTTCAAGTTCTGCTACACTAACATGGTGATTATGGCATCTGACCAGTCCATATGGAAAAAAAGTAGTAAATACTCGGCTACTTAAAAAAGTTATATGAATTTTTATTCCAAATAACATTTTTAGACCTTAGATTATAAAAGAACACATCTGAACAAACAGAGGAAACAAGCTTTATTCCATGGATATAAATATAATATTTAAAAGAAATAGAAATTGTATGTATGCTAAATGATTTATTTCTGTGTATTTTGTGTAGAGCACAACTTATTTTGAGATATTATTACTTGTTCAAGGTAATAATATCTATCTATCTATCTATCTATCTATCTATCTATCTATCTATCTATCTACAAGGATCAAAAACTCAATAGAAGGGAAGAATCAGCTAGTAATCATAAAAGGAACATAGCTACAAATGGGTAAAATAAATTTTGTTGTTCAATAAAAATTGACCATGGGATATGTTTCTATGAGATTAAGATTATTTTTTTAATTGTGAAAATACCTTACAGAGGGGTTACAATTATATGAGCAAGGTAATGAGTGCATTACTTATCAAGCATTGTTGCCTCCTCCTTTGTTTCCCCTTCCCATCCCTTCCCATCTCCACCCCTGACCCCACCCCTCTCCAAAGATGTAAATTCGCTTTTTGACATAACGACTTGTACATCTCATTGTTGCAATGGGTCCACCTGTATCCTTATTTAAATGATTTGTTTTTTAACTTCCACTCCACAAATTATACCAACATCAAATACAGTGAAAACAGGGCTTATACCGTGGAGGAGGGACATACATAGAAACAAAGAAATCATTTTATAAATATGTTAGAAACAATCGCAAGAAAGAAAAAACATTTAAGTCCCTATCTTGAGGTTCATTTTGCCTAACATCAACTTATCTGACCGTTTCTGCTTGTCTCAGGCATATACTAGCAAAGGACATAGGTAGAAAGATTGTTTTAATTACTTAAGTTATTTATATTTAATTTTTTAAGCTATCTTAATATAATTTTCATAAAGATTTTTGAGGTAAACAATCTTCTAATCTTTTCAAGCCTATTTTCAGAGAACAGAATTCAATATGTATTTCTTAATTCTAAAAATTCTTAAGTTTAAAATAGTTACACACATAAACAGATGGACACACACACATACTCACACACACACACGCACAGATTCAGTAAGTCCATTAATTCATTGCTGGCTTGGGCCGTGTTATTATTTTTCACTTCTCATCAATGCAATAGAATTTGACGCTGACTTTAGCATGTAATAATCTTTTGATCTGTTGTAAATTATACAGAATGCATTGGAGATGGCCAATTATTTATTTGTGTTTCTGTGGCACTGAATATTTATAAGCAAGCCAAGAGGGAAATATGTTTGGACTTGAATATGAACAAACAGACTTGAATCTGATATATTAAATTTCTCTTTTTGACAATTGATTAAGTCCTGACGCTAAAACTTTCAAATTTTGGTAAATATAAAAGTAACGTCTGCAGCACACAGACTAATCCTAGCCATGCTCAGATTTACACTTGGTTAACTCCATTGGCTGTACCTCAAGATTTGAATTTGTCAGTTAAGTACCGTGACTACCCTGACCATAGATAAGCGAATTCCATTCGATGGAATTCCTATCATATTAGTAATGGAACATAAATTCTCTTCCCAAATGCCAAATGATATGATGGTCTCAATGTCTCATATGTTGCATTGCTTCTTTTGCTGTGTGTGGATAATGAATTCATTCATTCTTTATTCAGAGAGGAAGCATGTACCTCCCTTGTTTTGATAGAAAGGAAAGTCTAAAAAGAAAGTATTACACATGTCTCTAAGACAAAAGACTGACATTTTAAGCTTTATCTATTCAACAAAATTGCGCAAAGGTCACATTTTGAGTGCAGAAAGATTATATTCTTAAGGAGTTGTCTCTCTTTCCCTGATCATGAGCTTAGGAGTAGCATCTGGAAAGTGAAAAGGAGAATCGTTTGTAATAAAATGAAAATCGGGAGCCTGGTATTTACCCTTTCCTAACTACCTGATCCTGATCAAGTTATTTAATTACATTTTATCCTTAAGTAATCTGAAATTAAGGAATTTAACATGCTATAAAAGGAACATAAACATTGTATGATAAAACATAAAAGGGTTCCCATAGTATGAGGCACACATCCATGAGCATTCTAACCATAGTATTTGGTGGTTATCTATTTCAACAGCATCATGCACAGTCAACTGTGTATTCGTGGAAGAATATTTTGCATAATCATGAATCATTCAATTTCTTTTCCACTTTTTTTCTCTTTCAAATATGAGCCACATTCATAGCAAAATATGGATGAAGTCATATATATTCATGTAACTAATCACAACAACCACAGAAATGTTTATAGGTTTGTTTCGAATATTTATCTCAAGGTTGACCTACATTTGAGATCTGAATCAAAATATTAGGCTGAATATAGCCAATGCGTTGTACCACTATTTAATATGTTCAGAATTGTATTTATGATATACAACCCACCTGAGAAGCTGTACAAATTAAGTTCAATAACTTTGCTTATTATGATTTTCCTTACTAAAGTCCTTTAAGTTGATTAATTTTCTTGTATAGTACTTGTAATTTATCAACTGTTAGTGATTCCTTCTACAATATTCATTCTTTCCCAAATTGTATGTAGTATAAATAATTACAAGTCCTTGCTAGTAGATATTCTTGCATATAATATAGTCATTCAGTTATTAAGTAACTAATGTTCAGCTCAGATTGAACTACAAGTTCAGATCTTCCCTCACAGTATAACCCCTGTTTTCACTGTATTTGATTCAGGTGTTCCTCATCTTGTGTATACATGTTTGAAATTTGGGAAGGGGAAGGGGTATAGCAGAATGCTGAAATGGGGATGCAGGTTGACCCATTGTAATGATGAAATATACAGGACACTATGCTGAAAACGAACTTTACAACTTGGAGGGGGGAAGGAGGAGTGGGAGAGGTAGGGAGGGAAGTGATGGTGGGGGAAAATCAAAGGAGGAGGTAACAGTGCTCGATAGGACATGTGCTCATTACCTTACTCATGTAACTGTAACCCCCTGTACAGTATCTTTACAATAAAAACCATTAAAAAATAGAGAGAAAATAATAGATGTATCATCCTACCAATGGAAAGTGCAAACAAATGTTATCCTGCCCTTTGAATAAATAGCATTAAATGTCTTTTGTAGTAAAAGGAAATGTTAATCTATTGAGTCAGTGTTAATGACTGTTTGATTAAACCAAGTCTATTAATATGGCATCCATTCTCTTCCCTCTCTACCGGGCACATTCGTGTGTGTGTGTGTGTGTGTGTGTGTGTGTGTGTGTGTGTGTGTGCATTCACGCACACGCACACACACCTTCGTGCACAGATTTTTTTTCTGCTTCAAAAAAATAATAATTCTGCTCTTTTCTTATTCTCTTACAATTGGAAAAATATATCCTAGGCCTGGATCAGCAGCAGGTGGTAAAATCTAAGCATAAGAAACAAATTCTACCATTTGTTTTGGTGGTTATATTACAATATTTAACTAATGTGTCTTTTCATGTATGTTGTATTTCTGACACAATATTAGTTATCTATCTAAGGCCCAGAATAACATATCACCAACCTTTTCTGTTAGGAGCTAGGAAAGATTGGAAAGCTATCACTTAAAAAATGATAGGTCATGAATGACAGAGAATATTTTTCCATTGATTACATTTCATTCTCCACATCTCTACAAGCAACTAAGTGCTTAATATATAATGAACATGGGTATTTTGCAAATTACTTTTTTAAAAACAATGAGCTGTGCTAAAATGATCACCAAATTTTGAATGTATCTTTCATAGCTGTTAAGAATCTCATGTCATGTGTTTTATATCATTTTTTAATATTTAGCAGTTGTTTTATATCTTAATTATTTTATGCGTTTTACAGAGGTGAATTGAATATATTATATTTCTCTGGCTTCCTTCACCCTGTTTTGTAATGCTGAGAAAGAACCCAGGACCACTTGGTAGATGAGCACAATCCACCACTGAAATACATCCTCATGCTCATTTCATTTCCATTTTGTATTTTATAGTATATTTCCTTAAAATTAAAAGCAAACCTAAAATGTTAATAGAGTATGTCCACGTCGTTATATATTTGTAGCCTCCATTGGCATGTAAAAGATACTAGTAGTTATACCTAACTACAAATAATTTAATAATGTCCCTTAGTAATTACTGAATTTTTGCTACCATTCAAGATTACCCACAAGGCTTATCTCTTACATTGTGTTTTTTTTCTTCTCCTAGAAAGGTGGAGAGCATTTGGCTTGAGGACCGTACTTGATCTACAGACAAGTGTATTTCTAGTCAGCTTCCCTCTTCAATGTGTCTGTACTGATAATTTTGTATGGACCATGAATGATGATTTAATATCTAAATAGCCTATTGCAGAGAGAAGGTTCCTTACTCCTTGGTCATTCCCTAAATGAATGATTTCTATGGTAGATAAATTACATTGTTATAGAATAGTCTCTACTAGAGCATATGGAGTGTTTTTGTCTATAAGTGTTTTGTCCTTTTAACCATGAATATACATGCAATTGTTTATGGAATAGGTAAGTAGGGAAACAATGAATGAATACATGAGAAAACTATTTCATCAAAATTCTCAGGAGAGGGTTATAGGTTAGATTGCTTGAGTGTAACTCAAATGGTATTTTGAAGAAGGAATTGAATGGATATCCAAGTAAATTAATTTCAATTGTTTCTCTTTTCTATCATGTTTTAGATAACATCATTCTAGTTCATGTAGAAGAGCTGCAATTGGAATTCTTTCAGCTTACAAATGAGAGCATAAGGTTCTGAGTTCAACCTCCAGTAACTTCATGGAGAAGAAAAT